AAATTCAGGCCACAAAGCCCAGGAGGGCATTCGGTGTTGCCGGGTCCTATGGCCTTCCTTGAGTAGGCTGGCTTCCCGCCCCCTGCGAGACAATTGCATGTCTCTCTGTCTTCTCTCCCCAGCTCTCTCAGAAGATATCAGCCTTCAGACATGACAGCCCATGGGCCCCGCCACGAGGCCCCCGAGAGCCGCAGGCACGAGCCTCTGCCTTCCACCTCCCGCTTGTGCAGATGCAGTGGCGGCCCGTCCCGCTCCCCGGACCAGTCCCCCGGCACCGTCCTGTGCCGCGTCTACTCAGTTTGCCTTTGCAGACTCTCTCCCCGCCTCTGCACCTGTTCCGTGCCCTGGGAGGCCGGCTGGGTGGATACAGCCCCGGCTCTGCTCGTGCCCCCTGGCTCCTGGTGTTAAGCAGAAGCAGAGGCGGAGGGTGGGCGAGGATAAGGTCAGACTTATAGACTTACTGCCTGTTGTTTCCCTTTTGGGGTTCGGCCCGGGTTGGGGTTTTCCGGGGGTTGAAGTTTGCGGCCCTTTTGGTTGGCTTTCCCCCCCCGGCTTTTTCCCGGGCCCTTGATTTTGTTCGGTTGGCTTCTGGCCGCGCCCCCCGGGCCGGGGCCTTGTTTTTTGCCTTTTGGGTTCCCCCCTTCTTGCCCCCCCTTTTTTAACTGTTCCTTTTTTTGGGCTTTTTTCGGGCCCCCCGTTTTGCGGTTGCCTTTTTTTTTTTCGGGGGTGGTTTTGGGTGTGCGGTGTGTCTGTGTTCTGGGGGTTTTTGCCGCGGTGTGGGGTCTCCCCTTTTTCTTTTTTCTGTGGGGTTTCTCCGCGGGGGCGCACACTCCACATCTCCTGCTCCTCCCTGCACCGCATCCCTCCTCGGCCGCCCCTCCACTCTGCTCCCCTCTCCAGCCACGCTTCTCAAAAGAAGCGTCTACGCTCGCCGTCTTCGTTGCTCACCTGCCACTCTCTCTCCAGCCCACCCCAATCTGGCCTTTGCCTCCACGTCCCATTGAAGCTGCCCTTGGCGACGTCACCACCTCCCACGGCCCTGGCACGGAACCCAGAGGACGCTCCCTGTCCTGCTGTACTCGGTTTCTCAGCGGCATCGGACACCGTTCCGCCCCCTTAAGACACAATCCCTTCTCGGCTCCTGTGACAAGCGGGTCCCCCACCCCCCTGGCCACTCCTCCATCACTTTGCCAACTCCTCTGCCTGTAACCGCCCTCCCCATGGGGGAGCCCCAGGGCAGGGGCGGTCATTTGAAAGCACAGCGCAAATCACTTGGTAGAATCCTCCCTCCGGTGGAGCCACATTGCATAAGGGCTATATCTTGTGCTCTTAAACATAGCATTGGAACCCCTGACCCCTGTGCAGACTGTGACAATGGCCACAGGCCCCTCCCATCCCTGTATGCATGCAGCTGCCTCTCTGTAGCGTGGCTTGGCTGCTCCAGCCACCCAGAGGCGGCGTCTACATCTCCACCCCTTTAATCTGGTCTTTGCTGTGTCCCTTGCTTTAGCCCATGGGGCTTCAGTAAATGTGACTCAAGCGGGGGCTTGAGAAGGGTTTGCACGTCGGAACTTTGCTCTCTTGCTGCGCTTGGTAACCCTGCAACCACCACGCCACAGATGAGGCTGGGGCAGCCTGCAGGTACCTCCCCCGGCCCTGCGGACAACCAGCTGACCACGGGCAAGCCAGTGAGGCCACCAGCTGCCCACTGGCCACAAAGGCAGGAGTGAAGTCAGCCATCCCCCTGTGGGACAGAGGTGGGCCACCCCTGCTGAGCCCAGTCCACGCTGCCAAGGCCCCAAATCAGGAGCAAATAAAAGGTTCTTCTGGTAAGTCATTCAGATCTGCAGTGGTTTGTTATGCAGCAAAAACTGACTGATACAGTCCCCTGCTCAAAACCCTCCTAAAGATTCCCCATTGTGCTCAGTATAAAATCTAAACGTGAATATGTTGGGCTCCGGTGCCCAAGTTCTCACCCCGTCCTCTCTCACTCCCTCCAGCCTCGCTCACAGCACTGTCGCCCGCAGTCGCCTGATACCTGAGAGTCCACGGTCCTCTCCCTCCTCCTGGCACCCCTCAGGCTGGGATGCACATCCCTGCTCTTCTCTGGGCTCCTGCTCATCCATCAGGTCTCACTCTGAATGTTACCTCCTCACAGAAACTCTGTCCAATTTGTCCTGCTCATTCATTCTCGATCCTGACACTTGTCACTGTTGGCAAGTCTGTGTTTACCTATGGGATTGCCTGACTAGTGTCTTTTTCCTCTCCAGGACTGTAAACTGCATGAGAGCAAGAACTATGTCAGTTTTTGCTCAAAATCTTATCCCTAGGGCCTGGCACATAGTAGGTGTTTGATAAATATCTGAATAAATGCACGAGAAAGAATGGTAATGATAATTATTTTTGAAACTGCTATTTCTAGAACATTTTCCCTTGAGCCTGGCACTATGCAAAGTGCAAAGCACTTACTATCTTCCTGAATCCTCGTAACCGAGCGGTGAGCTAGATTCTGTTATTGTTCACATTTTGATTGGGAATCTGCATCAATATCATCTGGTTCCGTGCAAGAGCTCTTACCTGTGACATTATATACCTTCCATCCCTGCGTTCTTCCCACAGGGGGAGAGAGGTGCAAGCACACCCACCCCAAGCAGGTCCGGGGGCACCCTGGTGGGTGAATGAGTGACAGAGGCCATGTGGGCCCAGCCAGGTCTTTAAACCCATAGCCACCTTCCTGGGGCATCTGCTTCCCCCCTTCCCACCCCTGAGGGACATCAACTATTGCTGCCTCTCCATCTTGTACAGCCCATCATCTCACCATGGGGCCGTGCAGTGCGGCCTCCCCTCAGCCCCTTCTCGGAAGATCTCAGGCCAACAGTTAGCATTCGGCACCTCCCAGTCTGGAAATGCCCCCACGAGTGTGTGTTCAAAGCCAGGCTCTGTCACTTTCTGTCTGTGTGACCTTGGGCAAGTTCCTAAACCTTCCTGTGCCTTAGTTTCCTCATCCGTTAAATAGGATCACGGATATTACCGACCTCCTAGAATTGTGATGGCGATTAAGTGAGTCGAAATCTGTGAAACCCTTAGAACAGTACCTAACACACAGTAAGTGTTGTTAAGTATATAAACTTCCATGGGCTGAATTGTGTCGCTCCCAAAATTCACGTGTTGAATCCGTAAGCCCCAGTGTCTCAAAATGTGACAGTATTTGGAGACAGGACCTTTAAAGGGATGATTAAGTTAAATGAGGATGTTAGCATGGGCCATAACTCAATGGGACTGATGTACTGAGAAGAGGAAATTTGGACATGCAAAGACAGCAGCAGGGGTGTGCAGCGTGGAGGGAAGGCCCTGTGAGGACACAGCAAGACGGCGGCCACCTGCAAGCCAGGGAGAGAAGCCTCGGGAGAAACCAACCCCGCCAGCACCTTGATCTTGGACTTCCAGCCTCTGGGAACTGTGAGATGATAGATTTCTGCTATTTAAGCCACCCCGTCTTGGGTATTTTGTTATGGCAGCCCTAACAAATTAATGCATAAATAAATAACATGTACCTGAGATTCAAGGTCACCCAGAGAGAGAATGAATGGCAGAGCTGGGACTCTGTCTGACCCCCAAACCAGTCTCAGAACCACTTTGCATTTGGCCCCCTGAGAGCTCTCCTGCAATCCTTGCCCTGCGGCTCTGTCTCTGGTAGAATCAGGAAAGCTCCTCCCTGAGGTGGGTATTATTTTTTACTCTCTTAGTCATCCCATGCTTTCTCCCAGAAAGGATCAAGGCAGCTGGCGTCAGTGTGCATGACGATTGTCCCTGCTCAGGACGTGAGCTGTCTGCGTGTGTCTTGTGCTTGTGGCATGGGTTGTGAGATGCGAGAAAGAACACAGGACTCATGGAGAAGGAACCTGTTCTTGCCCTGACCAGGCCACTCGTGAGCTGTGTAAACTTGAGCAAAGCGTGTCATCTCTCTGAGCCGCAGTTTTCTCCTCTGCAGAACCTGCATGCTTCTAGCTGCCATATGTGTTATACGTGTAATATGCTAGGCCCTGTGCTTTTAATTTTCACAAGAGTCCAGCAAGATGAGGTTAAGGTTTTAAGTTGTGTCGTTACCATCTCACTTTACAGACGAGGAAACTGAGGCTCCAATAGGGAAAGCAACTTGTCCAAGGTCACATAGTCCAGGCCCCAAAGCTGGAACTCTAACTCCAACCCGTCCGACTCCAAGCCTGGCCTCTGCGGCCCTCCCACTCGTGTGGACAGTGTGTGCAGGAGGCTGCGGTGCGTGCTGCATGTGCTCCATAAAGTGGCACTGTCAGGAGACAAGACCAATAGGTCTAAAATGGAGCAAGATGGAAAGGTCCAGAATGAGGTTTGAAGAAGGGCTGTGGCAAAGATGGTGTGCAACAGGCAGAACGGAGCAGAGTAGTGTGGGGAGATGACTCCAGGAGGGAGAGGCTGCAGGACCAAGGGTGTGGAGGTGGGAACGAAGCTGGCACGTCAGGGTCCCGAGACCCCCCTGGGAGCAGGAAGGGTCAAGGTTGGAGAGTCCAGGTGAGCTTGGATGTTTGGTTGCAGATGAAGGAGACATAATACATTCTGGAGCAGGGCAGGTGAGGTGGTATGGTGGGCACCAGTCACCACCGCCACCACCATCATCATCTTCACCAACCTTTATTAAACACCTACTATGTGCTAAGCCCTGATCTAAGCACACTACATGTGTTATCTCATGTGGTGTCTCAAGAGCTCTCTGAGGCAGGTATTATTATTATTCTTCCCATTTTATAGATGGGAAACTGAGGTCCAGAGAGGTGAGCACCTGACCCATGGTTACTCAGCTAGTAAGTGGCCAAGCTGGGACTTGAACCCAGGTCTATCTGACTCCATAGCCCATGATCCTAACCACTTGGGAGGTCCTGTGAGATATCTGGGGGAAAACGAGGCTGGGACTGAGCAGGCTGGGTGGGCTGCAACCCTCACCTCCCCCCAGGGCTGGCACCCACCTTCATTCTCCAGCTTCCTCTTCTCCAGTTCGGCCTCGATCTGGTCCAGCACCATGGCCAGCTCCCCGAGGATCTTCTTCAGGTAGCTCACGTCGTCATGCTCCAAGATCTTGGCCTAGGGGCAGGACAGACAGGAGCCAGAGAAGCTGAGTTGGCCTCATCAGAGCCGGGATGTCCGGGGATGGAAGGAGCTTTGTAACCCTCCTTCTGCCAACCCAGCCTCCAGATATCCCCCAGTGTACAGCATGCCCCTTCCTCTGGTGCTTGCCACACTCCTGTGACATTGGCTATCCTGCCTGGGTCCCTTTCCTGGAGCTGGTGCACTTACACACCCCGCTGCTGGGAGCTTGGGTGCTAGTGGCTCACAGCTGCCCCTTCTCCAAGAATGGCTCTCAGCCAATGGGGAACCGCCTTGCTCAGAAATACTCGGGAGGTTACCCTCCTCCCGGCGATCTGTAGCCAATGACCGACTGATATGGGAGTGTAACAGGCTGTCCCCGTGCCTCAAGGCTGACCAACATGGTGGTGCCACTCATGCTCCAGAGCTTCTTGGGGGTCAGATGAAGCTTGGCCACTTCCTCTTCCCGTCCCACCCATCCTTCCTGGGTCCCCCTCTGAGCACTCCCTTGGTACCTCCAGGAACCTCTCTGTTCAGTGCTCTGCCTTTAGGGACACGACCCAACACATGAGGGAACTGAGGTCCCCGAGCGGCAGTGGCTTGCCCGGGGCCGAACAGCCAGTAAACAGCAGAGGAGAAGCAGGGTAGGAAAAGTGAGCCAGTGGTTTTTCCACTTCTATCATCACCGATCCTCTACTTAGAACCAGCTTCTCCCAGTTCGTTTCCATGGACGAGATGGTGGGGGAGGGGAGTCAGCAGGCGGGGGGCGAGGGGGGGGGCTCACCATGAGCTTCTTCTGTTTGGAAAGGTAGGGCTCGGAGAGCTGGGGCTCCTCTTCGTGGTCCAATTTCATGAGGTCCGTGGTGGCGTTGGCTAAATGTCCTGGGGGGAGAACAGGAAAGGTCCCGTCCCTCTGGCACTGCCTCCCCCGTCACTTCCCTTGCAGGGCTGGAAGTAGGTCCCAGCCAGACACTGGTCAGAGAAGCGACAACTTCAACAGCCAGCACTCAGGGATGGGCGAGACGCCACGCTGCCCGAAGCTCAGGTTAGCGTGAGAGACGGGCACATGCGGCAATCCCGTGACACAGCATGGCCGGTCTGTAAGGAAGAATGAACTTAACGGGCGGGAGGGGGAGGGGGAGGAGATGCCGGAAACGGGCAGGACCCGGCCCCTGGGCCTCATCATCTTCCCCTCCACACCTGCTTCTCCCCCTGTGTCCTCCCAAACTGCAGCTCCTCCCCTGACCAAAGCCACGCCCAGTGCCCGGGGTTTGTCCTCAGCTCCTCCCTCCCCCTCCTCCCCACAGTGAACCAGTCTCAGGGGCTGCGGATTCTTCCTTCTCCACCTTTCTCATGTCTTGTCACGGTAAACCTCCCCCACGTCAGTCCAGCTCTCTCTCTTCCCCTCTCTCCCTTGCGAGCCCTTCTCCCCGCTCTGCCAGAGGGACAGCCCCTCAGTCACACAAGTGGCCGTGCCACTCCGTGTTCAGAGCCCACCCTGGCTCCTCACTGCCCTCAGATAATGTCCCAGCTCCTCAACTGCCTTAAGAGAGCCTGCTGGATCCATCTCCTCCCCATCTCACCTCCTCCATCTTTCCCGAGTTTCCCCAAGTGTCCCTGTCCCTGGAGGGCACATTTCAGCCACTCCAAATGCTTGCTGTTCCCAGAATGAGCCAGACTGTCCCGAACCTCTGGGCTTTTGCTCACACTACTTCGACCTCCTGGAATAGCCTTATCCTCTTCTCCTGAAATCCTCCTCCTAGATCCTGCTGAAGGTCACCTCCTTCATGGAGCCCTTCCTGATCCTCTCGGACAGCGGCCCCTAACCTTTTTGGCACCAGGGACCGATTTCATAGAAGACATTTTTTCCAAGGACCAGGGGCTGGGGTGGGGTGTTGTGGGTGGCGGGAGGGTGGCGCGGAGCTCAGGCAGTGATTTCTGGCCTGATTCCCAACTGGCCGCAGACTGGTGCCGGGCCATGGCCTGGGGCTTGAGGACCGCAGCTCTAGGAGGCCTGCCCACTCACTGCCGTCGTTTCCCAGTGTACACTGCCAGGGAATGCAGACACACTGAGCAGCGCTGCCATGGCACAACTCCATTAACCTTGCAGTTTATGTGACCAGTGCCCCCTGGACTTGTGCAGTGCACAACCTGTAGTACTTGCTGTACGTGGAGATTTTGATGCTAATGTAGTTATCTCTGGATGTATATGTCTCTCACTAGAACTTTTTTTTTTTTTTTTGAGACAGAGTCTCGCTCTGTTGCCCGGACTAGAGTGCCACGGCGTCAGCCTAGCTCACAGCAACCTCAAACTCCTGGGCTCAGGCGATCCTTCTGCCTCAGCCTCCCGAGTAGCTGGGACTACAGACATGTGCCACCATGCCCGGCTAATTTTTTCTACATATATTTTTAGTTGGCCAATTAATTTCTTGCTATTTTTAGTAGAGACGGGGTCTTGCTCCTGCTCAGGCTGGTTTCAAACTCCTGACCTTGAGTGATCCGCCTGCCTCGGCCTCCCAGAGTTGCTAGGATTACAGGAGTGAGCTACCGCGCCCGGCCTCTCTCACTAGAACTTGAGCTTCTGGAGAGCAGTGGCTATGACAGATTCCTCTCCGTTCCCAGGCCTGGCACAGAGCAGAGGCTCAGTGACTGTTGAATGAATGAACAAAGGAACGAACGGAATGAGGGAGTGAATGAGTGACTGCACTTGTTTAGCTCTGTCCTCGAGATTTCATCACCCACCACCCCATCACTTGGCCAGATACAAATCTCAGTAAACACGCTCCCAGCTCCTTCAGCTTTGTGGCTATAATAAGTCTGATTGATGTTTTATTAATGTGAAGGTCAAGGACAGCATCTTCTCTCCTTCCTGTCACCAGGGGCTGCCCATGTGGCTCTCTTTAGACTCCAGGAGGGCAGGCCAGGCGGAGAGAAGACCTCAGCCCGATGGGGGTGGGGTCGCTGCAGCCTGGCCTCTGCTCCTGCACCTGCAGTCCTCTGCCCCTCCCCCTGCGGGGCTAGAGCCCCGAGGTCCTCTCTGCCTTCAGGGACCGAGGGGAGAGGGACGGAGCCCTCCGGGCCAGCTCTGGACTCACTGTTTTCTAGGCGCAGTCCAACAGCTCAGGACAGGATTGGGGGAGCACCCTCAGGAACACTTAGAGACTGTCTCCATCCCCAGCCAGGTCCCCAATATTGGTCACCTGTGTAGCAGCCGGGGCCCCCTAATTGCCTGTCCATTCTCCCCTCAGGGGAATGGTCTTTGTAAAATGCAGATGTGATCAGGTCACTTGCCTCCACTGTTTCTCCATTGCTTTCTAGATAAAGTCCCAATTCTGCCAGACCTCCTCCTCAGACTCACCCTATGGCCCTGCCCACCTGCCTGGGGCTGCACTTCAACCACACTGAACTCCCTTCAGCCTCTCAAACCTGCCACACCTGTCCCACCCCGGAACCTGGAATGATCCTCCCTCTCCTTCCCGCTCCACCTGCTACTCAGCCTCGGTTGCTGCTGCGTTTCGGGAGCCTTCCCTGACCCCAGCAGCTGGCTTGGGCATCACCTCTGTTCCCACAGCCTTCCTGCTCCCCTGATCGTAACTGATTGGTACTCGCTTCAAAAAGTTTTAACTAACTTATTTAAGTTAGTTAGAGCATGCACAGCTCATGCATGCATACTTGTTAAAAATTTGAACAATATTGGAGAATATGCAAAAAAAAAAAGCAAATCTCTCCCCTCTCTACCTGCAGTCTCTCAGTTCTGTTCTCCGAAGTCAAACACTATTGGCAGCTTCTTGTGTGTCCTTCTAGAAACACTCCTTGCATTGTAAGCACCTGTGTATCCATTTTACCCCCTTTTAAGTACATTCATGATAGCATATTAGAAGGGGTGAGTTTTTTGCCCTTCACTTTTTTCTACTCGCTAATGTATCTTAATAGAACATTCCGAATGCCTATTATATTTTTGAACATCTGTACAGGATTCCATTGTATGGAAGTTCTCGTAGCTTATTTGCTCAGTTCCTAACTCAGGGGTTATTTCCAGTGATATTTCTTGCTATTGCCAACGATGCTGCAGTGAATGCCTTTGTACATTCTTCTCGGTGCGCACACTGAGTGTAACTGCAGCGCCGTCTCCCAGGTGTGGACCTTTTCATGTCTGACATACAATGCCACACAGCCCTCCCGAGAGCTCGCTCCGATTTACATAGTCCTGCACTGCAGTCACCTGGTTACTCGTCTTTGCTTCCACAGAACTGTAACCCTGGCATGGTAGAAGCTGTGTCTATCCCATCTGTCCCCAAGCCCCCTGTCCAGGGCCTTTCAAGTGTTGTTGGCAGGGCCGATGTTGGTAGCAGGACAGCACAGGCAATTCCGGAGTCTTGTTCAATAGAATTCTAAAGGGACAGGGCTGAGTTCCACAACCTGACCCTCCTCCCTGCCTTTGAGCATCAGCCTCATTCCTTCGAAAGGGAGGAGGTGACCATTTGCTGAGCACCTTTCACGTCTCTTCTGGTGACTGTGCTGAGCCTGGACCAAAGTCTGTAACCAGCGTTGATGGCCTATCTGATTTAATCCAGCACCCTTTCTCCCGCACAGGAGACAAAAGGATGGACCAGGCTACGGGCGTGTCCGGGCTGGCGGTTAGGACAGTGCATGTGTGATCTTGAATCAGAAATCAGAGACTCCGCTGGGGGCCTTGCCACGTCTGGACATCTTTCCTTGGTAACTCCAACCCCGGGGTCACTCGGTACCCTTGGCCACCAACCACAGCCCTGACTGCTGGTGCCCGCCCCCCCCCCCACCGCCCTGACCCAAGTGTCTGCGGATGGGACTCCTGCGGGGAGATCCCCCACCTCCCATTGTACAAAAACAAGCTTGGGGGAGGGGACAGACAGCCCCACAGTCTTGTATAGGATCCATCACAAGACAAGAGTAGGGGGCGGGGAGGCGACTGAGGGAGAGACTGGCAGAGAGGGAGAGAGACATATTCAGTTAGAAACAGGGTGAACGAGATGGGAGGCCAGAGAGAAAAAGGGGACAGAAAGCAAGCAAGGGGCAGAGGAGAGAGAGAGAGAGAGAGAGAGAGAGAGAGAGAGAGAGAGAGAGAGAGAGAGAAGTGGCCTAAGTCAGAACCCCAGGCACACAGAGAGAGAAGGTGAGAGGAAGAGGAGGAAGAGGGGATGACAGGAGAGGGAGCAGCAGGTGAAGGGGGGGGACTCCCATGGAAGGAAGGAGGGCGCCATGCGGGCGCCAGGGAAGGGCTCTCCGGGCCGGCACTCACTGCGGATCTCGGCCGTGGCGTACTTGGGGATCATGGAGTCGGTGGTGAGCTCGGGGTGCAGGATGCAGCCGTGCGTGTAGGCGTCCATGGGCAGCGCGTCCAGCAGCTCCCGGTACTGCAGCACCCGCGCGTGCTGCGCGCTGCCCGCCTCGGGCATCAGGGCCACCACGTGCTCTGCGGGGCACCGCCAGGGGCTGGGTCAGGCAGCAGAGGGCCCTGCCTCGGCCACCGCCCTCCAGCACCCCTGAACCCCAGGCCTGGGGCCCACACCGTCCCCCGGGGGACAGCCCCTCTCGGCGGCAGACTTGTTGGCGGGTGGGAGTCTAGGCCCAGTGTTGCCGGGGTCGAGAGGAGCTGGCAACCTGGACGCTCACAGCGCAAGCCGCCTGCATTCGCAGGAGCCGCCACCTGACGCATATCCTATTGCAACGGTGCCCGTCCGGGCCCTGACCCCCTCTCAGCGGCTGTCGGAGCCTCTGCGCTGGGCAGCGTGCCCCTGGCCTGTGGAAGGCCTGAGGGAGGGAGAGCACGGAGGGTTTTGCGGGGTTTGGGGGTGTCTGGGCCCTGCCTGGGCCTGGGGGTTCTAGGGTATCTGAGACCATATCTATGGGGAGTCTTCAGCCCTCGTGGTGGGGAGGGCAGGGCCCTGTCCTTGCTGAGGGACCCCTGGGAGATCTGGGCCCTGTCTGTGGGGACTGGAGGGGGGTCTGTGTCCTGCTCATGTCCCAGGGGCTCCTGAGGGTCTGCGGCCACGTCTGTGACTCCGGGGTTCCTGGGGAAGGGGGCCGTTGCCCCAGTGTTCCTAGGGGGTGTCTGGCCACGCCTCTTCCCTGGAGTATCGTGGTGGGGGCATCTCTGGAGTCCCCAGGGACCTGCGGCTGTGCCTGTGGCTCTGTGGTTTCCGGGCTCATCTGAGCCCTGCCTGTAGCCCTGTGGCTGCTTTGCGGGGAGACTGGGCCTTGCCCGGGGCCCAGTGAATTTCTCCAGGCTGCCCAAGGCCCTGGACCCCTGTCTGAGCCTGCGGGGCCCCCTGGGGTCTGCGGGGCGGAGTGGTGGCAGCGGCGGTACCTCCTGTGAAGGTGCGCTCCACGTAGTCGATGATCTGGTCGTAGTCACTGATGATGTTGTCGCGGTGGATGATGACCGGCACCTCCTCGCCCAGGTTGAGCCGCATGAACCAGGGCTCCTTGTGCTCGCTCTGCGGCAGGCTCACGTCCCGCTCCTCGCACGCCAGGCCCTTCTCCGCGATCACCAGCCGCACCTGCAGGCGCCAGGGTCAGAGCGGGGAAGGCGGGCGGACACAGGGGACACTCTGCCCGGGGGGGCGGGGCATGCGGGAAGGGAGGTCAGAGGTCACACACGGGAGGGGACACCGTTGCTTTCGGCCCACCCTGGGCTTCCGGTTGGGGAGGTGTCTCCCAGGGGCGTGCGCCTAGTGGTGGGAGGAACGCGGCCCTGTTTGGGGACGAGGGGACGTGCTGCCTGGTGGACAAGCCGTGGGGTTTCACAGCGGGACACACCTGAGGTAGGATTCCTGGCTGTGTGAGTGTGGGCAAAATTCCTCAAACTTTCTGAGCCTCAGTTTCCTTATTTGTAAGATGGGAGTATTAATAATACCAACCAAGTGCCTGGTACACAGATGGGACTCAATTCATGATTATCACTGTCACGAATGGACACTCAGTCTGACCTCCGGGGGTGGATCTGGCCAGGAAATATGCAAACATTCTTATCATCATCATCATCATCATCATCATCATCATCAATAGCTAAATTTCTCAAATTATTTGGGGTACAAAGTGGGGTGAGAAATAATCTGCCAGCGTCGATCAAACCCTCTTTTGCTCCCAAACACCTTCTCATCTGGGTGCCTGATTGGATGTTCAAAATAGCCCCCTAGAGGAGGGGCAGAACAAGGGAGTATTTCCCTATTTTTCTTGATGAGAAAACTGAAACCCAGAGAGGACAAGTAACCTACCCAAAGTCACACCGCAATTCAGCAGCTGACTTAAAACTGGAAGCAAAGTTCCTGACCCCCAGACTAGTGCTCTCTGCCCTGAGGGCTCCTTCCAGGTAGTTCTGGGCCTGCCCCCTCCTGAGTCTTTCCTTACGTTTCTAGAAGGCCCCAGACAAACATTCGAGCTGGTGGACGCTAACAGAGAGCCCTGGGGCTGGGGCACGCTCCTGACTCAGCCCAATACTTCTGAGCTAGAAACAGGTTAGCGATCACTTGCTCCAAGTGCCCTCTACCTGTGGACTGAGACTCAGAAACAAGATGGGCTTGCCCAAGGTCCCCCAGCAAGAGGATGGCAAGTGGTTCCAGTCCAGGGGCTGAGGGAGGGCGTCTCTGAGAGAGGTAAAGGTCCATTCTCCTCAAGCACCAACATCTCCACACACACCTGAGATGGTGGCTGCCGGGACTGGGCGTCCCCAACCTCCCTCGGGGATACCAGGAGTTCAGCACCCAAAACAGGCAGCATGGTGTCGTGGGCAGAACAGCGTCAGTTCGAATCCCAGCTCTAGCACTTACTTGCTGGAGTTCTTGGCTTTACAAGTAGTTTTACTTCTTTGTGCCTCAGTTTCCCCTCCTGTCCAATGGGAGTCTTATAGCAATTTCCTCAGAGGGCTGTTGTAAGGATTAAATGCATTAGTCCCTGTGGAATGGTGCCTGGCACACAGTAGGGGCAATATGTTTTAGCTATTTGCATTAAACCGGGTTTTAGAGGCAGGCGGACCTGGACTTGAAGCCCAGCTCTACTGCTTATTTGCTGTGTGACCTTGGACAAGTCCCTTGACCTCTCTGATTTCTAGTTTCTGTGAAATAAGGACGGCAATCCACTCCTTCAAGGCTGGCATGAGGTGGAGATGGGGTGATGTGGACGGAGTCCCACAACACATGGGTTCTAATAATGTCACTGTTATTATACCCACACGCACAGACTGCCCTGCACCCCTGGTTGATGTCCTAGAGTCCTCCATGCCCCACCCCACAGCTAACATGAACACCCTTTCTGTCTGGTGGACTGTGGGGAGGCTCTGTTCTCTCTTCTGAACAGAGTTATTTGCTCCATCAGCCAAAAGCAGGTCCCATAGGTGGGACCCATGCAGAGCCCCCGGGCTAGCAGGCACCACAGCAACACCGTGTGACCTCAGAGCTCTCGCCGCCCTTTCTGAGCATCCTTTTCTCATCAGCAAAACAAGGGGCTGGACTCCCTGTTCACGGAGAGCCCTGCAGCCCTGCTGCGAGCTGACACTACTACATTCACGACCAGGCAGGAGACAGGGCTGGCTCTGCCTGCCCCTCGGCAGTGGGAGGAAACTGCTGGCTCTGTCTGAGAGAGGGGAGGAAATGTTGTGGAGAGTGGGCAGCACGCCCGGGGGTGGCGTCTGTTTGGGTGTGTATGAGTGAGCAAGTGTGTGTGCATGTCTGTGTGTGCAGGAGCGTGAGTGCACGTGTATGAGTGAGCAAGTGTGAGCAAGTGTGTGTGCATGTCTGTGTGTGCAGGAGCGTGAGTGCACGTGTGTGAGTGAGCAAGTGTGAGCAAGTGTGTGTGCATGTCTGTGTGTGCATGAGCGTGAGTGCACGTGTATGAGTGAGCAAGTGTGTGTGCGTGTCTGTGTGTGCATGAGCGTGAGTGCATGTGTATGAGTGAGCAAGTGTGTGTGCATGTCTATGTGTGCATGAGCATGAGTGCACGTGTATGAGTGAGCAAGTGTGTGTGCGCGTGTCTCTGTGTGCATGAGTGTGGTGTGCATGGACAAGTGTACGTGTAAGTGTGAGTATTCAAGTATTCTGTCAATGTGGGTGTGAGTGTGTGTGTGCACATGTAGTGTGGGCCTTATGTGTGTGCATGTGTTAGGGTGTGTGTAGGTGTGAGGGAACGTGTGTGTGTGTTTGAGCTCGTGGGTGGCCCATGCCCTGGAGAAGCCCAGAGAACCGAGGCTGGAGTTTGGCTGCAGCAAGCGGCCGCCCTCTCTGATCTCTGCTTTCCTGGCACCCTTGGGCCTCAGCTGGGTCCTCCAGCCTCTGAGCCGAACTGGGAGCTCTAATTGGATGGAAACAGATACCAAACCAGGCCTTTGCCCTTGGCAGGTACAGACACTTGGCCTTCCATCTTGCAGGGGCCACTCCCGGGCCCTGCCTGGAGCTCCAGCGAAGGTGTCAGGTGTGGCTGCAGTCTGGGGAGGGGACTATCTTTAGAGGCACAATAATCCTGCTTGGAGCTGCCTCAGGGTCACCCTGGCAGGTGGCCAAGGAGACTTTCACCTTTAGCTGAGCTGCAGGCCAGAGCCATGTGCCACCAGCCTGCGGGGGAGGGGGACCCGGAGAGGACGCCAAGCCCAAGGGAAGGGCATGCAGTCACCAAGGCCATCTGCCATCTCTGCCTCCTAGAGGCTGGACCAGACTTAAGTGGTCACCACTCGGTGTGACCAGGCATCAACCATCTCTGGGTAAACCATCTTCCCTCTGGGCGCCTGAAAATCACCCATGGGCGCTTCACCGCTGTAGGTTAGGCCCCGTCCCTCCTCACCGAGGTCCTTGTTTGGATGATGGGCCAGATTGACATCTCTGCCCAGCCATTTAGTTGCTGTGTGATTTTGTAAAAGACACTTAGCATCTCTGAACCCCAGTTTATTTATCTCAAATACCTATTTAAAAAAGTAATAGACTTTATTTTTAAGAGCAGTTTTATGTTTTTATATACCTTTTAAGTATAACACTTTATATTTTTACCAACTCATCACTTTTCGAGACTTATTTATTAAGTGCCTAGTATGTGCTAGGTCTTGTTCTGAGTGCCAGTGAATAAAATAAAGATCCCAGCCCTCAGGGAACTGACAGTGTTAGTGGGGACAGACAGATGATAAGCAGTTAAAATGGTTCGGTCTGTCCAAAGATGGTGAGTGCTTCAGAAAACAGAAAAACTAGAGTGGGGAAGAGGACCCAGGTCCCAGAGTGTCAGGGGGACGGAGGCGACTTTAAAGAGCATGGTCCATGAGGGCAGGCCTCTCTCGCAGGTGGCATTTGAGCAAAGGCTTGGACAAGGTGAGGAGTGGGCCACACAGGGGCCTGGGGAGAAGATCGCCGGGCAGCAGGAATGGCCCTGAGCACATGGGACGAGCTGGGCCGGCATGGGGAAGCGTCACTGGGGCAGGTGCGAAGGCAGACAGGGAGGAGAGAAGGAGAGAGATCACGTGCAGGGGCCTTCAGTCGACGCTCCTAGACCGAGGGGCCTGGGAATAAATTCAGGGAGTCCTTGAACTAGGATGGGGAAATTACATGTTTATTTTCAGTCATCTCAAACTGACATTTAGCATTCTCTTCAATTAGGAATGTAGGCGATAAAGTATGGTAGTGTTAGCAGCGCCTGCAATATTGTCACCACCAGGAATCAGATATTTTCATCACTCCGCGGTTGTTACAGTCACCTCAAAATATCATGCACACTCATCACGACTTCAACATGACAGTAGCTATCAGCTCTGCCACCGGATCGTGTTATATAAAGGGGTTAATACGGAAACATACATATTATTATATAATGCTGTACTTCACCATGATTGGTTTCCTTTCTAATCTAAAAATCCCGTGCATTTGATTTTATTCAATTAAAAACATTGTTCTGAGAAGGACCCATGGGCTTCCTCTGACTTGAGTCCTGACTGAAGCAAGGTGAGGACCCTGCGGAAGGGCCCGAGGCCATTGCGAGGACTCTAGATTTTTCCTGGAGGGACTCGGGGAGCCACTGCAGGCTTCTGAGCAGAGAAGTAACAAGATGCGCTGCCCCTGTGGGCTGTCACTTGGGCAGGGGAAGGTGGCAAGTGGTCAAGTGCAGCCTGGACAAGGCTGGGGACTGGGTGCCCAGGAGTCTGAAAGGCAAGGCCGGGGCGGGAGGTAGAGACCGTTCTTCACCTCTTGCTTCGGTGTCAGGAGTGGCCTCTGGCTGGCCCCAGACCTAGGTCTCGTACACCTGGGGGCCGAAGGCTGGGCCAGGGGCTCCCCACAGGTACGCTCAAGACAGGGCAGACCCTGGGGTGGACTGGGGTAAGGGAACCTTGAACCAGGCTTGCTGCAGGGAGCAGAGTGGCCCCGGAGACGCGCTCTGGTGGAAATAGCAGCAATAATAATAGCCAACTCTTACATAGCACTTCCTCTGTGTGAGGCCCAGTTCAAAGAGCTTTACATGTATTAACTCTTAATCCTTCCAGAACCCAACGAGGTGGGTACTAGTACCTACCAGTACCCTCATTTTACAAAAGAGGAAACAGGCACAGAGACAGTAAGCAACTTGCCCGAAGTCACACAGCTAGGAAGTAGCAATCTTGGTTTCGAAAGGCTGGCAGGTGTGAGGACAGAAGGGGGCACAGAGGGGCAGGGCAGTACTTCCTGCCTGGGAGTGGAAGGAGGGAGGCAGGTTGCACCAGGCATCTAGTCCTTGTTTCCGGTGAGGTGACTGAAGACCAGAGAGGGTCAGGTCACACACAGCCAGTTGGGACTGCCAGCACTAGAATCTCGGTCTCTTGACGCCCTGCATTTTCGCCCCTCTTACTCTCCCCGCAAAGGAGGAGGGGGCTGGGGGCAGGAACAGCCTCAGAAGCACGCTAACATTTGCACTGTGTGTTTGGGGCCTCTTCCAAACTCTGTGGCTCCAAGCCATCACCTGTGATGGTGCCTGAAAGTTCATTATTAGCGTGCAAGTTTTCCAAGCACTGTGCTAAGTGCGACCATGCACGACAGCATTCAATCTTCCCAACCCTCCGAGACAGGTGCTGCTATTACCACTAAACATATGAGGAAGCTGAGACTTAGGGGAAGCCACTTTCACAAAGTCACATAGCTGAGAAGTGGCCAAGTGGAGCTTGACCTCGTGTCTGCCTAACTCCAAAGTCCACGTCATTATGACAGCAACCAGCACTTAACTGGCACTTTCTAGGTGCCAGGTGCTATATTGGGTGATTCACATGGGGGTGCATTTGCTGAATCCTTACAATGACCCTGTTGGGGAGGCACTAATTTGCAGATGTGGATAACTGAGGCACGAGAGGTTAAGCAACTTGCGCAGGACTCCCCAGCCGGTCAGTGGTGCCGCTGAGTTTGAAGCCCGGGCAGCCTGGCCCCAGAGTCTGGGTCCTGGACCCCCACATTGTCCTGCTGCCCTCTGGGTCTAGAATGGTCCCCAGATGCCCAGTGGAGCCACCATTGCTCCCAGAGGTGGCTATTTTCCACTATTAATAGTCCATGTGCCACTAAAGGCAGGCTTCTTGGATGCTTCACAATGGAGACTGCCCCCTCCACGCCAGCAAGGCCCTTCAGACGGGAGGGAAGAAAACCCACGTGCTAAGCTCCTACTACATGCCAGGCACTTACTCTATGCCTGTGTACTGTAAATTCTCCAAGGATTCTGCTGAGTAGGATGTAAATTCCTCTTTCCCAGATGAGGATGTTGAGGTACAGAGAGGTGAAGTGACTTGCCCAAGGTCACATAGTCAGAAAGTATCCAAGATGAGAATGGAACCCAGGACTATCTGACTGCAGAGCCCATGCCCTTTCTTCCAGGCTACTGTGCTTCTAGAATCCACCACAAGCCCCTGTGCAGGAGGAAGGCCCTGGCAGGGGAGGCAGGGAATGCCCACGCCAGCTTGAGCAGAAACTTGGCCAAAAGTGGGGTTGCACTGGATGGTTCTATCCCTGACTAAGGGGCCACCTGAGCCCCGAGCTCAGGCTGAATGGGAAATATTCTCGTGGGGAAGAGCAGGAGGCTCCGTCAGAGTGTGCTTGTAGGAGGTGCCACTTTCCTGCCCTCTGAGTCCTGAGGTTTCAGGTGGGAAAAGATTCCAGAATCTGAAGGTCAGTCTGATTCATCTCCAACCCCCAGCCCCTTGCACGAGGCCTGATATGCAGTAGGTGCTCAGCAAGCATGGGCAGGACTATGGATGAGTCCCAGAACGACCTTGGCTAACCCTGGCCCTTTCTCTACCTAGAGCCTTAATAACCCCACATCACCCATTATTAAAAGGGCCTTGACCCCTCTCCAGGCACTGCTGTCAGCACTTTTTGTGCATCCTATCTCATTGCACCCTCCCAATAGCCCTCTGAGGAAGTTACTGCATTAGCTCCACTTCACAGATTATAAAACTGAGGCTTTGCAAAGACAAGGTGACCTGTCCAAAGCTCTACAGTGAGCAGTGGGGAAGATGGCTCTCCTACTGGGGCCTATCTAGTCTGTATTCTAAACTGGGGCACTCAAAGGGTGCTCGGTGGACCAGCTTCCCCAGCCTCACCTGGTGGCTTGTTGGAGGGGCACTCCAGACCTCCTGAATCACAATCTCTGGGGTAGAATCCAGCAGTCTCTGTGTTAACCAGGGTCACCCCGTGATGCTAATGCATGCTCAAGTTTAAGCAGTGCTGGTCTGGAGCACTAAGTTACATTGCCTCTCCAGCAAGCCTATCAGCAACACCGAGGAGGGCTTGTAAACAGAAGTATTAATAGCTATTATTATTATTATTATTGTTATCCCACTTCCCAGATGACGAAACTAAGCCTGGACCAAGACTCAAACCCAAGTCTTTGGTTCCAAGGCCGTTTCTCTCCACGGAATCTATTTTTCCATCTGGAAACTGAGTGATTGGAACAAAAGGACCTTCCAGGAAGAAAAGGAGTGGGAGGATCAGGCAGCAGGTGCAGTCAGGCCTTCCCAGGACCTGTACCCCCAGCCCTGGCCATGGTGCTGAATCTGTGCCCTGGAGACGGGACAGACCCAGGGTGGGAAAATTGCGCCCCTGTCTTATGGGCGCAGTCCACCACCTTACCCCAGGAAGCTGAAACCCTGATAACTCAGCACCAGACTGGATTTCCCACTGCCCCCAGATCCCCTGGGTCTGAGAAGGGTCTAAGGGGCCAGGGCCACTCTGTGTCTCTAAGAACAAAACACAAATCTTGTGGGCCTGGCTGAGCTGGTCTGAGGGGATGGATTAACCCCTTCCTTCCCAGCTCAAGATGGGGGTGGGGTAGGTGACGGCTGGGGACAGACCCTCAAAGCCCCAGGCAGAAGAAGGCCCACAGCTGGGACAGAGGGGGCCTGGGGGCCTGCAGTGTCCCTGACAGCAGCGCAGAAGGAGAGCCTGAGACTGGGCCGCCGGGGCAGACCCCAGAAAGCACTTCTCCTCCATGCAGCCCCCCAACAGGCCGCCTTCCCAGCAGCGCCCATCCCCTGCCGCTAGCCTTTGTCTCTCTGCTCAGCCCCCAGCAGACCGGCTCTTCCTGGGAGGGAAGGTGGCAGAATGGATGCTCCCAGAATTGGGGGTACAGCGCTCCTGGGGCCCAGCCAGGGCCGGTCACCGCCCGGCAGAGCAGCCCTGGCACCCCGCGTCCCCGTCCTCCGGGCCCCCCAAAGCCCAGATGTCACCCTCCTGTCCCTGGCCACCGTCAGGCCCCTCGAGCCCTGGGCGTCCCTGGCCCCCAGTCTCCCGGGCCCCGCGCCCCGTGGCGCGCCGCGGGCTGTACCTTCTGCGAGCTGAAGGACTGGGTCCAGTGATACAGAACCAGGCTCTCCTTGGGCCGATGGGCGGGGCTGGCCGCCTCGGGCGCGTCGGGGGCCTCCACCGGCTTGGCCACATCGCTCTCCAGCGCCGAGATGGGCCACCAGCTGCAGTTGGTGGGGGTCAGGTTGTTGGGGGTCGCCATGACAGCCCGCGATCGGCGAGGAGAGAGGGAGGCTCCGGCGCCGGCTCTCGCGCCCAGCATCACATGGCCTCGCCGAGCGCCCCGCTCCCTCCCTCCGTCCCTCCCTCCGCGGCGAATGTCATTACTCAAGGAGGGGGAGGGCGCGGGGATCCCGGGAGCTCCTTCCTCCCCCACCCTTGGCCCGCCCCTGGCCCGCGCCGGAGAAGCCACCAGCCCGCTAGGTCAGGCTCCCTGCAAGGGCGCGAGGAAGTGGGTCGTGCCCCCAAACCCGCTTATATCTGGCCAGTCACCTGCCAGAGCCGCCACCATTATAATCGCATTGGCGCCTCTCAATCTTGCAAAAAGCAAATACCTCTTAGGACCACTGGGGTTATAGAGATCTATTCCTTTTAGAAATTAGTGTCTGGAAATATCTCGTCTCACTTTGAAACTGTGATGTTCTAACTTTCCCCCTGAAGGGCCTCCAAGGGCAGACGGGAACACACTATGATTTATTTCACAAGCACTTACGTAGCGCTTACTGTGTGCCTAGGCACGGTTCTAAGGGCTTTACAGCTATCGACCCATGTGGCCCTCACAATAATCCTATTGTCCTCATTTTACAGAGAAGGAAATTGAGGCACAAAGAGGCTAAGTGACCTTGCCCAAGGTCATCTAGCCCGTATGTGGTGGAGCTGATTCGAACCCAGGCAGTCTTGTCGCGTAGTCTGCCCTCTTGGCCATAAGCTCAGGATGGCAACATAAACAGCGCAGCAAGCGTTTGGGAGCCAGAGCAGTTTACAGGCACCATCTCGGTTTCATCTGCACAATAATCGTTTTTCCCAGATGGGGAAGGTGAGGCTCAGAGATGTCAAGTCATCGGTCCAAGGTCACACTGTCACCAGAGGAGGCCACGGCACAACCAGATGAGCACATAGAAAGCTGCAAAGCTTTTGCTGCCATATAGTGTATCCTAAACATTTGTGGGAACTTTACATGAAGTTCCTTAACACACCCATGCTTCCCTCACTGGAAATATTGTGTTTCAGCATATTTACCATTGAGGGAATACATGAGCAGGCCCTGAGACAGTAAATGCAAATAGATGTATTCGGAAGACAAGCTTCAAAGCCCCCACCCCAACCTGGTCATGCTTCTCGGGACTCCTGGGGACATCCCCCAGACTGCAAGCATGGCTCATAAGGAATCAGTGTCCTTCCTTCTGCCAGGTAACAAATGTCTTGTGGCCCATGGGTTTCTCTTCTTGCCTTGGCTGCCAGGAAGCTTGGAGCTACATTTTTATGAAGTCCCAGTTGCTACATTAACCTCCCTGGTTCAGCACACTTTTTCTGTCTCTCTTGTATGAATTTTTTTTTTTTCTTCTTTTTCGTCAGAGTGTCTTGTTCACTGTTTGATTTTGCAAAGAAGGATATGGTACATTCTGGGGGAAAATTCAAACGTGTATGCCCCGGGGGTGTATCTTGTAAGTTTAATAAGTGCTACAGGTGATTCTCAAGAGATGGCAAATGTGGGGGACACTGAGATAGAAGGAAGAGCCCAGATGGGATGGGAGTCAGTAAGACATGGCTCCAGGCCGTGTGACTTCTCACAGGTCACTTGCCCTCTCCGAGGTTTGTCTCTTCCTCTGTAAATAGAGATGATAATAATAAGTGCATGAGGCAGAGATGGATCACTGTCCCCCAGAGATCTGGGTACCTGGTCCACAGGATAGAGGCTACTTATGATCTTATTTCACTCTCCCTAAAGAAATATTAATGTATTTGCTTATGAGGTACTGCCCCAGCCCCCACTGGGAATGTCACATAATAGACACTGTAACACTATATTGCCTTCCTAAAATCCCACCAAATCTGAATTCAAAAATCCATTTCAGATAAGATTGTGGATTTGCCTAGCCTTTCAGGAGGAAAATTTGGCAAAATATGACAAAAGTCTTTAAGATGTGCCTACCTTTTGATCTTGGAGTTTGACTTTTTAGGAGTTTATCCTATGGAAACCATTGGCTAGCCACTTATGGCGCTTGTTAAACAGACAAGTTCCTAGACTTCACCCAAGACCTTGAATCTGAATGTTCAGGGGAAGAGTGTGGTAGCCCTAGGACGATGCTTATACCATGCTCTACGCCAGTGGCTGAACCTTAGAACAGCGTGGGGAGCTTTGTGAAGTGCTAGTCTCTTGGCCCTGTGCCCTAGAAATTCTGATTCAGCAGGTCTGGAGCAGGAATCCTGACCCTGACATTATGTATAGCTCCCAGGTGATCCGAGAACCACTGTGTCTGCTAACCCAATGGGGCAGGCACCACAGCAGTCCCACCTGGGGAGCTTTTCAAACTAAAGCAGTGAGAGAGAAGGGGAGGGGGACCAGTCGGTGATTTTCTTACCCTGGGTGCACATTGGAACTAACTGGACCTTTTCTGAAATAGCAGTGTTAGGGACCCCGCCCCCGAGATTCCGATTTAATTGGTTTATGGTATGGCCTGGGAATTTGCATTTCAAAAGTTCTTCAAATATTTCCAATGTGCAGTCTAGGTGGACACCTACTTAATAAATGGACCAGAAGATTCTGAATCAGTAGATTTGGGGTAAATCAAACTTTCCATATATATATATACACATATATATGTATGTATGTGTGTGTGTATATATATATATTTTTTAGAGACAGGGTCTCATTCTGCCACCCAGGGGAATGCAGTGGCAAGATCATAGTTCAGTTCACTGCAACCTTGGACTTCAGGGCTGAAGCAAAGTGAGCTTGCCTCAACCTCCAAAGTAGCTAGGGCTATTGGCATGCACCATCACACCCGGCTAATTTCTTAAATGTCTTGTAGAGATGGGGTCTGGCTCTGTTGCCCAGGCTGGTCTGGAACTCCTAGCCTCAAGTAATCCTCCTGCCTCTATCTCCTAAAGTGCTGGCATTGTAGGCATGAGCCACCACGCCTGGCTCCTTCACCCCAGAGACTGTGACACTCCCCACTGCCCCAGGGTCTGGCTACTCCAAGTGTGGTCTGAAGCAAGAGCACATCGCTGGGCGCCTGTAAGAAATGCAGTCTCAGGCCCTCCCCTAGACCTGATGACTGAAAACCACAGTGTAGCCAGACTCTAGGGAGATCAGCACACACCTTTAGTGCCGGCAGCGCTGCTGCGAGGCGCATGGGCTCCTTTGGGGAGGACAGCAGTTTAGGTTCTGTGATCAGGGCTGGCTTGTCTTCTCTTCCATCGCCACCCACCTCTTGAAGCTGCAGACACTTTTCTAGTGTCGTCGGCGTAGTCTGTCCTCATATTATCTGGGCCTTGCTGCTCCCATGCCGTGGCCATCTGTTCACGGATACGTCGTTGGAAGGTCTGGGCACGTGCGTGGTTTGATGAAGCAGCAGGGGGTCCCAGGCCTTTCCTGCCAGGGAGGGACATCACAGAGTCTGGGCGTGCACCCAGGAGTGGGCCGGGGGATTGGGTGTTTCTCCCAAAGATCTAAAGGTCGTTAGATATGCAGGTTGGGGACACTACACACTTATTCTGTGAGGTTCTAGGACTAATCAGAGGGAGTTATAGGGAAGGAGGTTGTGGTTCAAAATAAAGAAAATGTTCAAACAAGCAGGAAGGGGCTGAGTCAGAGGGGAGAGGACAGCTACCTGCTGAGTTCCATACCCGGCAGGGGGTCCATCATGGTATGTAACAGCTTCTGCCCTATCAAGATTTGTTGACTTAAATGTAATTGGTTAAAAATGAGTATAAATCCCTTGTCTGTCCCTTATTGGTAGTTTCTGTGCACTATAGGATAACCTGGCAATCTTTTGTGTCCTTTAAAGCTTTTTTGTCAGGTGTTCAAATTTCTGTGTTTTCTTGTTTTCTCAGTATGTTCTAATTCTTTTTCATCCAGCTTATATCTGCACCACATTCTTTCCAACAGCTAAAATACCCTAACTGGCCCACAAAAGGGGGTTTGTTAAATCCTGCTTAGCTAAACAATGAAACAGAAGTTGTCAGGAGTATTAAGATACAAGCTTACTGTAGTTGTAAATGAAAATAGCATGTTGCAAAATAGCCTGTATGGTAAGATCTCATTCCAAATATTTTTAATGTATATTCCTAGAAAATACCTAAAATATTGTGGTTCTTGTTTGGACTAGAGTCAGGAATCTGTCTGCAAATTGAATGAGAGGTAGAAAATCCAACCCAAACGCACAATTTTAGTGAGTTCAGGGGCTCCCTTCCCCCCAAAGCCCACCCATCAATCCAGGGTAAGAACCAGGTATCTAGAAGGGTCCTACTGAGATGCCAACAGCATGGTGTCCGGGTGGGTGGGATGACAGGTGTCCTTATGAACTACTTTTTACCTCACTGTATCTTTCCCTACCCCCCTGTTCTGAGCATCTATTACTTTTGAATAAGAAAAACAAGCAAATAAAAACCAAACTGGTTCTAAACTCTACTTTAAATGTCTAATTCAGTTTAGCCAGCTCTACCTAATTGGCAGTGTTTTTATTTGAGAAAATTGCAGATTTTTAAAAAGTGGACGCTGCCAATAACCAGTTAACAAGGAAGCTGAGGCCCCAGCAGGCACCAGGGCAGGATCAGAACTCAGGCCCTTTGCCTACATCCTCCCTTCCTTTCCCACCATGAGCCTCTTTCTGCTTTCTCTCTCATTAAGCCAGCAGGGCTGGGGTGTCTCAGGCGTTCGTGGCCTGGACACTCCATTCACTGACATGGTTTGTGTGGATTCTAGAGAGTGGACAGCCACTGGGCCGGGCAGCCTCCACATATGCCTCTGCTTTACCGGAAAAGCACACTGGGCTGTGGATCAAATGCACAGAACGCTGGCACCAGGGCCAGGAGCTGTCTGCCCACTTTGAAAGTCTGCTCTTGGGGGATTCCATGCCATTCATTTGCAAAGGCTGCCACATGGGATGTTTTCTTGGGAATACCCAGGCGATATTGACAAGTCCATCACAGACACATCCTCCAGGCAGGCTCTGGCTTGCTCTGAACCAAGTGGATGGAGTAGGACACTGCTCTGGGAGTCCTCACTGTCCCTGGCAGGGCTTAGGACCGGGCTCCATCCCATTTCCCCTCTGAGGGGACCTAGTGGATGCAAGAGAATGTGTCTGCGTCCATGCCCAGCCAGAGCCTATGCCAGCAGCTGCAGGCTCCTCCGCAGAAGTGCCAGGAGGCTTGGCTCAGCTGGAAATTCACTGGGCAAATGGATCTCAGGTTTCAAAGCTGAGAAATGAGCGTGAAGGTTTTTTCCTGGTGTCAGGGCAGATGAGCCCACAGTGGGTGTTCTGGGTTCCCTAAGGTCAGCCACAGGATGCATTTTGTTTCTGAGCTCTGGTCTGTGAGGAGGAGTATCTCTGGGCTAAGATGACTCTCAGAGACGGCTCCACCAGGCGGAGGCCCACACTGAGGACTTCGTCCTATACCTCATCAGGGACTGGGCAGCAGGCACTTACACGATTCAGTTCTTTTTTTTTTTTTTTGTCTCGCTTTGTTGTCCAGGCTAGAGTGAGTGCCGTGGCGTCAGCCTAGCTCACAGCAACCTCAAACTCCTGGGCTCCAGCGATCCTTCTGCCTCAGCCTCCCGAGTAGCTGGGACTACAGGCATGTGCCACCATGCCCGGCTAATTTTTTATATATATATATCAGTTGGCCAATTAATTTCTTTCTATTTATAGTAGAGACGGGGTCTCGCTCTTGCTCAGGCTGGTTTTGAACTCCTGACCTTGAGCAATCCGCCCGCCTTGGCCTCCCAGAGAGCTAGGATTACAGGCGTGAGCCACCGTGCCCGGCCTACGATTCAGTTCTTAAGAACATTTGCAAAGTCAGCCAATAGTTAATAGTCAAAGATGTGTAGATTTTTTTAAAAAATTCTTTAATGGCTTTTCAGAAGAATTACAGAAACACAGGTTCATTATTACAAATTCAAATCATATATAAAGAAGTAAAAATAACTCTATTATCCTGAAGAGGCACAGAATAAAATAAGGTATCACTTTTTAAATTAAGAGATTGTCAAAATTAAAAGGAATGACAATATCTAGCACTGGCAAAGTGCAGGCCAGGAATTCTCAACCTTTGATGTAATTCTTTGTTGTAGGGGATTGTCCTGTTTATTAAAATTTGTATCATGAGGAACTTTACTTAAAATACACTTACAAGAGTAAAAACTTTTTTTTTTTTTTTTTGAGACAGAGTCTTGCTTTGTTGCCCGGGCTAGAGTGAGTGCCATGGCGTCAGCCTAGCTCACAGCAACCTCAAACTCCTGGGCTCAAGCAATCCTCCTTCCTCAGCCTCCCGAGTAGCTGGGACTACAGGCATACGCCACCATGCCCGGCTAATTTTTTCTATGTATATTAGTTGGCCAATTAATTTCTTTCTATTTTTTTATAGTAGAGACAGGGTCTCGCTCACGCTGGTTTTGAACTCCTGACCTTGAGCAATCCGCCCACCTCGGCCTCCCAGAGTGCTAGGATTATAGGCGTGAGCCACCGCGCACAGCCAAGAGTAAAAACTTTTGTTTTTTTTGGGGGGGTGACTATTTATTAAGAGACAGAGTCTACGTTGTCTAGGCTGGACTCAAAACTCTTGGACCCACCCAAGTGATCCTCCTGGCTCAGCCTCCCAAGTAGCTGGGACTACAGGTATCCACCACTGTGCTCAGGGAGTACAAACTTGTTTGACAAACTTTTTAATGCAGCACCATTGGTAATATTTTAGAAATTGGTAATGACTCAAATTAAATAATGTTAAATGTAAAATGCCCAGACACAGGAAAAAATTTCTTTTTGTTTTTATGAGACAGAGTCTCACTCTGCCACCCAGGCTAGAGTACAATGACATATTCACAGCTCATTGTAACCCTAAACTCCTGGGTGTGTGCTACCATGCCTGGTTAATTTTTTAAAAACTTTTATTAAAGACAAGGTCTCACTAAGTTGTCCAGGCTGGTCTTGAACTCCTGGCCTCAAGTAATCCATCCACCTTGGCCTTCCAAAGCTCAGGGATTATAGGCATGAGCCACTGTGCCCTGCTGAAAAGAATTTCTATGTCTTTCTTTCCAGAAAATTAGCTCTGATGTAGCAAAGTCTTCAAGATAAAATTATTCAGGGGAAAAGACAAGGTGCAGAAAGTGTAGAGGACATTTTTATAAGATTTAAAAAACAAAACTGTATAAACAACTGCAAATGCGAATGTATTTAAAAAGCACATACACAGAACTACGTTATGGGTTTTGTTTATTTAAAGCCTGGAAGGAGGTGTGCTAAGCCACACACAGTGGCTGTTTCTCTGCAGAGTAGGATGAAAGGGCACAGGGGAGCACATGGAATTTTTTATTTCTATTTAAAATATTCCAGCATTGCTTGCATCACCTTACAAGGACATTGTCAAATAATAAAGATAAAAATAAGAGGTAGGAAAGGAAGAAAGAAGGACAAGAACTCTCACTGGAGTCCTGCCCTCCCCTCCCCTGGAGTAAGCAAGCCGAGCTTAAGGGGCTCCTCATGCTCCGCGATGGAGTCCCCAGGGCAGCCTCATCCATACCACCTTGCCAGATCCTCGAAGCAATGCTTCCATGTTGGCAGACAGAGGTAGTTATTTCCATTTTGCAAATGGGGAAACTGAGACCCAAAAACATAGCGACTTGCCCAAGCCCTGGAGAGATCGAGGGGTCCCAGATCTCTGGAGTCCCGGGCTGCTGTTTCTTCTGCTGCAACTCCCCCCCCCCCTGCCCCGGCCCAAGTAACGGGGGCACGAGCCGCAAGAGGCTCTTGGAACCACCGGCCTAACATCTATGCCCGGTCCAAGCTTGTGCCTCGACTCCTTCAGCTCCTCTTCAGCACTTAGGCTTCGCACACAGCGGGTATTCGTCCCTCTAGAGCCGTTTTCATCCTCTGGCTCTCCTTTTCTGAGGGCAACGTGCTTTAGAAAGCGCATCTGGCTGTCACTCACCAGCTCAAGAAGCGGCTTCACCTCTCTGCGCCTCATCTGCAAAAGGGAGATAAATGTACCTAACTCAAGGACCATTCTGAGGATCAAAGGAATCGTGTATGAATGCATTTTGTAAAATATAAAGTATTTCAAAATGACAGTTTATTTTAACAGAATAAAACTCTAGCTCTCTCTCTCTCTCTCTCTGGAAGTTTAGAGTAAGATTAGTAGGGTAATTGCAAGTGAGAGTACTTGAATGAAAGTATGAAGTTGCAACAGGCACAACTACGGGCGTGGAGGTTGGGAAGAGTTCAGATAATGGGTCAGTACCCCTAAGCTCATATCTTACCCAAGTCAGGTTTCTTTGGAACCTATTATTGGGCTTTGGCACCTGTGCTGTCGCCAGGGAGAGATCCACAATGCTAAACATCTTAGGGCACGGGCAACAAGGAAACGAGAAAAAACCAATGTGTTACCAGCACCTCAAGATTGTATTTCCACCCACAGGAAAACAGACCAGGCAGGAAACAGGTTAATATGTCCACCAGGGTTTATGGAACTGCTTGGTTAATTTATTAACATTATAAAAAGTAATGTAGGTGGAAGTGCCTTGGGCATGGGACCAACTCCCACCATCCCAGGGAAACGCAGTAAAACCCACCTTGTAAAGAGACAGCAGCAAGAAAGGCCACTTTAGAAAGGCTCAGCTCACTGCTAGGCAGGGTGTGGTGAGGCAGCGCTATTACACACGCTGCCGAGTGTGTGAGTGGCTCATTACTTTCCTTTTAAGCAATTTATCAGTGTGTCATTGGAGACTTTCAACAGTTCACACCTTCTCACACAGGAGTTCTAGGTGCAAAATTCTATTCTAAGAAAATAATCAGACTCATGGTCAGATGTAGACACACACACGGTTTTGTATGTACACACACGAAGATGTTCAGCTCAGAGTCACACACACGCACACACACACACACACGCGCACACACGCACACACACACAGACACCCCCCAACTGTCCAAAAATAGAGGAATGGTTAACTGTAAAATATTAATAAGTTATGAATATATTTAAATGATGGATTATACAATCATGAAAATCATGTTTAAGGAATATTTTGTGACATGAAAAATGCTCACAATAGTAAATGAAAAAAAGCAGGACATAAAACTTAGTTTATAAATATTTAAAATATACACGTTTAAAATAGTAATGATGATGATGATGATGATGATGATAGTAGCAGCTGACACTTATTGGATGCCGTGAGCCACGCAGGGCTCCACCACATGACTCATTTCCACCTCTCCCTGTCCCCGAAGGTAGGTCCTATCATCACTCCCATGACTCAGAGCAGTGAAGGGGCATGGGGCTGGGCGGTGTGTCCAAGGCCACGCAAGGGCGGGCACAGGGAGGCAGGGCTTCCAGCAGAAGCCTTCCCTTGCGGCTCTCGGCCCTCTGTAACACTACGACAAAATGCTGAAAATGGACATCGTCGAGTGCTGGGACTGAAGAGCAGGTGAGTTTCTTCTTTATTTCCTAAACTTTGTATAGAGGCATATTTTTTTCTTTTGTTAAAATTGTTTACTGCAAAAATATCAACACATTCAAATATTTCCAAAATACAGGGAGAGAGTATTAAATAACCTAAGCTCCAGAGAGATGGGAGGAGGGAAATCAAATTCAATTACACTGGAAGGGACCAGGAAAGGCCAGCAGACGAGGCCTAGAGGGAAGACAACCAGCTCAACTGGAAACACGTTTCCCTGGGTATTTGAGGGACATTCATGTGGATGACTCGTGGGACAAGGGGACACTACTGGACACGGAGGTGTGGCGCTGAGGAGCCACGTGGGCTGGAGACGGATGTGGCGTGAACAGCAAGCACATGTGCCTGAGCCTGTGAAAGACACCACTGTTTCCGCTTGTCCTTCACCTCCATTCCTTTCTTGGGGTAACAGCAACCCATCTCTCCCCTCAGAGAACTACCCCACCTTTCCACAAAGGCTTGGTGAGACAATTAAAGTGCCCTGCCACCCGGGGAGTGGGGACATCTGCCAAGATCAGGGGAAAGGAGAAAGTGTGACGTGTAAGCCAATGTGCGTTTGTGGCCGATGATCCCTAACTCCTCATTAGCACGCAGCCCCCAGCCTTGCAATCAACGGCCTTTGCTGCTTAGGGAGCCACTGCTCAGCTCTGAGTTTTAAATTTGGATTTTCTTGAGGCCACAGTGAGACAGTCTTAAAATCTGGCTTTGTTGAAGGAGGAAAAGTTTTCCTAATTTCCAAATCTTTCCTTTGCAGATCAAGAGAACAACCTGGGGACGAGAAGATAGAGATTTTCCATAAGCTACAGTGTGGAGATGACGCAGAACAAGGTCAAAGACAAGCTCCCATACAGCAGGAAGGGACAAAGGCCTTCTGGTGCCGCCAAGGAGAAAAAGCAGGACAAGAGTTCAGATGCAAGTGTTCTGGTCCACCCTCCTCTAAGGTCGAATCCTCTGTGTGGGGCTCAGAAGCACCAAGACAAGTTTAGGGGACACTGGTGTCCCACTGCCCCGAGCACAGCCCCAGGAGAGCACTGGCCTCTCAGAGGACCCTCCCACGGGCCAGGTCACAGAGGCATCAAAGCAGCCCTGGGAGATGGTGTGCGGACAACAGCAGTTCCCCGTCTCCCCTTGGCCTGGGGGTGCCACGCAGGTGGTCGGGAAGTGTGCACACGCTCCAGTGATGAGCCGAGAAAGGCTGATGGATGAAGAAAGGCCAGGTGACAAGCTGTGAGGGCCATGGCACACACATGGCCCTCGTGACAATAGACACTGGCAATTTTCATGATTATAAGCAGGTCAGTGTACTGCTCAGGAACTACTAATAAATTAGGTCGGCCCCATCTTGGTGGGTTCTACCATAAACCATAATGGCTAGGGACAAACCCATAGCAGCCATGTGGCAGTGAAGACCAGCAAAGGGCAGAGAACAGCATCTGAACCATAGGGCTCCCCCACTGCCCCCTTATATCCAGAGGCCACCCCATGACAATGGAAGCAGATGGGAGACGCGAGAGATCCTGACTTACTGAATGTGTATGCAAAACAGAGTGCTGGAAACCAGAAGAGACTGAAATGCCCCTACAGTGGGGAGAATGGAGGTTGAGAAGAAAGTAAGATCAGCTGAGAGATAGAGAGGAAGTTGCATTGTTTTTGCACCTGAGTAGGAATGGGCAAAATGTGCCCCTGCCACAGAGCCCAATCAGAGCTTCTCTCCCAGGAATTTGAATCTTGTAAGGAGAGACACATCAGGACCAAAAATGCATGGAACCAAATCACCCTGGACAATGCCCCAGAGACTGCTGGCACCTGGAAAAGGCTTCGTCTGGTTCCCAGGCTGATAAGGCCTGGCTGTTCAGCTTTTCCTTTTGTTGAGTTAGTTTTCTGATATTCTTCCAGTATATTCCTTTTTTTTTGAGACAGAGTCTCGCTTTGTTGCCTAGGCTAGAGTGAGTGCCGTGGCGTCAGCCTAGCTCACAGCAACCTCAAACTCCTGGGCTCAAGCAATCCTCCTGCCTCAGCCTCCCGAGTAGCTGGGACTACAGGCATGTGCCACCATGCCCGGCTAATTTTTTCTCTATATATTAGTTGGCCAATTAATTTCTTTCTATTTATAGTAGAGACGGGGTCTTGCTCTTGCTCAGGGTGGTTTCAAACTCCTGAACTCGAGCAATCCGCCCGCCTTGGCCTCCCAGAGTGCTAGGATTACACGCGTGAGCCACCGCGCCCGGCCCAGAGTTGCTTTCTACATTCTCGGACCCAGGATGATCCTGGAAGTGAGTGCGAGATGAGAAGAGAGCCGAGATGTGGCCCCCGAGGGCCAGGAGATGGACAAGGAGAGGCCCTGAGGACACCCGCACATGCAGTGGCCGCACAGGCCGGAAGGGGCGTCAGTTAGGGAGGCCGTGTCCAGGGCCAGGCAGTGCTCGGAACTCAAGCAACGTAAGAAAGAGACGGGGGGACGCTGCATTCAGCAAAGGAGGTCACTCACGACCTTGGCAAGGTGTGTTTCCGTGGGAGAGGAGCCTGGTTGCAGTAGGCTGACAAGAGGAGGAGGGCGAGAAAGAAGTAGAGACACTGACCACGGCTCCAACAGGGACAAAAGAGAAAAGGAAAGGAGCTTTAGGGGGGAATCTGGGTAGAGGGGGCTCTGTGGGTTTGGGTTTCCATTTTTCGTTTGTTTTTGTTTTTTTTTTTTAAATATGAGAGAAGACACGATGTGCATCGGCATGTACAGAAAACGCTGTGAGTTTCCTGAGAAGGTGGGAGAGATGGGAACCAACGTGATGTCAGAGTAGGGGCTAATTTGAGGAGGAGGAGGAAGGGGGACAGAAGGGATGGAGACACAGGCAAAGATCAAGGACATACAGCAAGATCTCGTATCTAATGGCTTCTGAGGACACTTCTATGGTGAAACCTTTCCTTTTTCCCTCAGGCAGAATTAGATGTTCACGAATGAGCAGAGAATGAAGATATACTTTGAATAGTAACAGTTGAGGGTCAACACTTGAGGGGGAAGATCGGGTCAGAGCACATGGAAAGGAAAGCACAGGGCAAGGAAGGAATTCTTGAGAGTTAGGCTGAGCCAGGAAACCGTGACACGATAGTTCCAATGTAGGGTAAATTGAAGACTCTTACCACGACGGAGGTAATTCAAACTGAAAATCCAAACCCAGGCATTCTGCAGCTGGGCAGATGTAATAATTTATGAATGCTTAAAGGCTTAATTCAACAGCTTTAGAGCAGGGGCTCTTTAAATTTTTTGTTTTGCACAGGTAATACATTGACATGATTCAAAAGTCTAGAACACACGGTACATAAGAAGTCTGGCCTCTCCCGCCTGCCCCCCATTTCTGAAACACTTCTCTTAGTCCATCTTGTCAGTGTTTCTTTATGCACATACAAGCAAAACAAATATACTAATATATTCTCAGTTGTACATCCTTTTACTATTTATGTCTTAGATATCTTTCCTCAGTGCACACAGAGCTTCCTCAAACTTTTTTCTAGT